GGCACGCCGAGCTTGGGTGCCGGGGTCGGTGAGCATCGGCACACACAGTACCAGTAGTCCATTCCCGCACAAGTGGACCAGGCTTGAGGGCGCACCGATTCCCGCGAGCGTCGTAGCATTAATCGTAATACTGTTTTCGAAGCCGTTCGTGGTTTTGTTGAGGGGGCAGGTTTCCAACTGCAATGCGAAATACATATTTGAGGTTTCCTCCCCTAGCACTTGCTTTAAACGCCTAACCACAAAGCTTTGGCGGCGAGCGGACTTATTGGCGCCCTACTGTATTTTATAATACCTTTGGCACGCGGTCGCGTCAGCTGCTCACGTCCTAACAAGTTTTTTTGCTACAGGTACGTGACCGCTCTTTCTGCAAAGCCAGTGGTGACTTATTTTGCAGTTAGTCGTCGACGGCAGTTCTACAAATTGCCACTCGTGGGCATACCATACAGTAAACAGCCACGCCTTTCACTTCGATCGCGCCAGTCCGCTCGCCGACAATCTTCGAGCTATGGCCTAAGTGCGTTTTGGTATCTAAAACGGTGGAAATAAGCGCTAGAAATATAAATTCACACATGGTCTCACTTCACGCTATCGCTAATAATAAGAATCATTCTGTGCCATCGGTATGAGGTCTCGGGTACATGCACGGGAAAGCCTTTGGGTGCTGTGCAGCGGCGAGTGGCCCTGTGTCCTAATGACTAGTCGGCTTCTGTGGCATTAGCCAACTTAGACCAGAGTATAAGATAGAGGTGATCGGAGGAGCCGCAATTTCAAGGTTACGATCCAGATGGTACTGGGCAGCACTAACGCGTTGTAACATATCTGACGTTCTCTTAAGTGACACAGGTGCGTCAAAAGATAGCCGGCTGGGTTTAACCGAAGGTGTTCACCAAGGAATAATCAAGGTAAAACGGCCTACTCGTTCCCAAAATATGCTGACTTTAGGAAACGGCGGTCATCGCCAACTAAAATTGACAATTTTACAGGTGAGGATACTATAAAAACTGCATTACGTAGCACTCTATCTCTCATGTCAACAGGAGACCGGGGTAGCATTTCCCGGTCAATTGCGGATG